TCCAAAAGCACTCACCAAGAGGAAGCGAGCGAAGCACACAGTCTTGGGTTTGATCTCTACTAGCCTGGGCCGGTTACTCAACCCCCACTTACAAATACCTCCTACTAAAGAACAATGAGTAATAAATGAATCAGGCTTTGGAGAATACAGGATGCAGCCCGACATGGCACAAGTACCCAATGCTTAATGGACAGCAACATGAATGTCATGTAGCAAAATATATTACAATTCTTTGGTGACTTGGCATATCCAGTCCACAATGCAAATAGGCCTGAAGTCTAGGAATAGCCTCAGTGGGGCTGAACACAAGATGAGGAATGGTGGAATGCTGGCAGGAAAGAAAGCAGGAGGGACCTGCTGGAGAGCAGGACCAACCATGGAATTCAACACCCTCTCCCATGGGATGGTACTTTATACATCCTCGGGGTCTAAAAAAGGCCACAGTCCTCTCTCCTCAGGCAGCAAATTCACAAGAAAGATGCTCCTTAACCTCTCAACCAGTCCAGCCTTCAGAGGCAGGTGTTCAGAGACTCAATCCTCTGGCACCATCAGAACAAAACCAAGGCTCAGGCGCTGTGCTTGGGTCCTCCCCCTCACACTTTCGTTTGTTTCCAGCTTTTGTCTCAGCAGCAAGTGTTGGCGTGGCCTTGGTCACCACGGCTGTCACAGTCATTTTCTGCATCACCAACATCCACTCTCTGGGTGCACTGAGCTGCCCTGTACGTCCTCTGATACACAATAGATTTCCTTTGCTATTTTTTAATGCACAGCCCTACATCAGCTGTGTACTTAATAAGATATGAAGACACTGGCAACTGAAAAGAAACCTATGACTGGTTATAAGAGCATCCTTCATCCCTCTTAGCTGGTATGGAAGGTGCTCCCAGTTAGCACTCAGCAACCCACATGTGTGCATCCCCTCTAAATATCCAATGGATGGGAAAGTAATGGCCTCGGGTGACAAAACTTACTGCACTTATACTACAGTCTCTGAAGACCCCAAATGATGTCCTAGCTTGAAATAATTAAACCAGTAAAGGTAGAACTTTCAGTCTTCAAAGTCTCATCTTAGGAACAACAACAACAAAAAGAAACCAATATTGAATTTTCCACTTGCCCAGGAGCATTCTGAGAAGTCAATAAGCAATGAATGATGCCAAGTGTTTTGAATCCACTCCACTCCTGCACTCGGAGGTCTCCTAGGTCAAGGTCAGGTGCCTCCAGTCCAGCACCATACTCCATTCCCCACCCCAAGGACAGAGACCACTTCCATTCCCCTCTCAGGTCAATGCCTAAGCTTCCCTTCCCTTCCCCTGTGGGGACAGGATGAGCACAGAAATCCTGTGGAATGTGTGTTCCCACAGAGCTCAGAAATGTGATGATCTCAGAGGATATTGTAAAGAAAGACCCTTGACACTTCCCTAAGGAAGAATGTCTTCTGTAAAAGGCGACTGCCAGGACAAAAAGCAAGTGCTGGGAAAATCTACGGCCTGCTGCTGTGTATGACTCCAATTCTGATGTCCCACTTCCTCTTTAGAATCACATTCCTTCCATCCTTATTCCTCTTCTAAAAAGACACGCTGGCATTAGGTCTCAGTAAAGAAGCAAAGTGCAGTGTTCTAATAAAGGCTGGAAGAAAGACGGGCTAAAATAGATTTCAATAAATATCAACTGACTATATGATCTACTCCATTCTACTACCTTTAAATGTTCCCCCTGCCAAAAAACAACACATCTATTTTTACACATGTGCAGCCTAACTTTTTCATTTATTTCATTCACCTAAAGTTTATTAGCACAGGCTATCAAGCAGCAAAGCTTTTTAACAATACAGTTTGAAGAGTCGTCACTAATTTAGCCTTTCAAACCTATCTCACAGTGGTTTCTGAAAGAATCAATGGTGGTAAGATACATGAAAGTGATATGAAATCTGAAAATGGCTAAACAAATACATACTTGGGCTTCCCGATCGTGTAGCAGGTAAGGAATCCACCTGCAATGCAAGAGACACAGGAGACTTGGGTTTGATCCCTGGGTCGGGAAGATCCCCTGGAGGAGGGCATGGCAACCTGTTTCAGTTTCCTTGCCTAAAAAAAATCCTATGGACAGAGGACCGTGACAGACCACAGCCCAAAGGGTCACAAAGAGTTGGACACTGAGAGACTAAGCACAATCAAATAGATAATCCAGTTGCTGTCATTCCCAGTATTAAAAGAAAATCATACCATACACTGTGGACCTTGGAATCAGAGATTAGAATTCAAGTCTCACCTCCACCACTTACTAGATACCTACGCAACTAAGCAAGTTACCAAACTCCCTAGGCCTCAGTTTCAAAAGTTAAGATGGAGATAATACCCACTTTATCAAGTTGTGAAAATTAATAGAATAATGTATATAAAACCCTTTTCACATAGTAAATACTAAATGATAGCATAAAATCAAAGTGCCCATTGAAAATAGTAGAAGGGGGCTTCCCTGGTGGTCCAGTGGTTAATAATCTGCCTTGCAGAGGACACTACTAAGATCTCTGGTCAAGGCAGATCCCATTTATCACAGCGCAACTAAGCCCGTGCACCACAACTCCCCAGCCTGCGCTGCAAGGCCCTGGAGCCTCAACTACTGGAGCCCATGCACCTGGAGCCTCTGCTCCACAAAAGCAGCCGCCGCAATGATAAGCCCATGCACTACAACAAAGTGTATTCTGCTCTCCGCAACTAAAGAAAAGCCCACTCAGCAATGAAGACCCAGCCCAACCAAAAAATGAGAAATAGAAGAAGGCAGAGGGACAATAGAAGAATCTCGCCCAAAAGGAGAACAAATATTAAAAACATGGACCCTACACTCTGAGGATTCCCTTCTTGGCCAGATACCACTCCCACCCAGCCCCACTCCTTCCCACTGACGTCAGAAGCTCCTCATTGCTTTGCATAGCTGTGCAGCAATCAGGGAGAGTCTGTCTTTAACTCCAGGGTTGACAAAGTGATGATTCATCCCATCCCTGTAGAGGGTGCAGCCTGTAACCAGCCTCTTCATACAGTGGGGAATCCATCGAATGGCCTGTGGCCAGAGACCAGCTATTTAAGAGCATCCCCCATCCATGTCTTCAGTAGCAGTGACAGTCTTACATTTTGCATTTTGTTAATGTATATTCCAAAGAGTACTTGGGAGGAATCCAACTGTGCTCTATTTTACAAAACAATTCACAACATAAACAAAAAGCCCAAAATGGCAAGACAACAGTAAGGAAGGCAGTCTCCCCTGCTGCTGCCCATGGCACCATGCTTTGCCAGGCAGTGTGTTAGTTAGAACGACAAACAGCTTGGCGGTTGGACAGCATCCCACTTCAGCTGCACATCATAATCGCTCCTAAGGACAAATCCCACTGCTTTTCAGCCTGGCCTAAAAATCTGACCACATCCTAGTAGCTGGTACAGCTCTATTCCATTACCACTGAGTGGGCAGGAAACATTTTTCTCCCCCGGAGTAAGTTTCTCATCCCCCTTCTAAGATTAAGAGACTTTCAAACTTGGTCGTCTTCAAATGAACAGCCAATGGGGTAGTTTACCCGAGCCCAAAGCAGCAGCTCTGCGTCATTTCCCAGCCCTGCCTGCAGCCAGACAACTATAACTAAATGTCTCCTAAACTATCCCCACAGTAATTCTAACCTTCAGTACAACTTTGGGATCCTTCCACCACGGTCCCATAGGCACAAACCATGAATGCCTGGAAATGTCAGCCTCCTCCCTAAATGGTTTCGCTTGGAATACTCCATTCAAAAAACACTCATCATTCAATCCCCTCGACTCCCCCCAGAGGTCAGCCAATCCTCTTGGGCCTCTTGATTCCAATCTAGGAAAGGGTCACTTAACATATACCCAACACCTTACATTCAATTCTACCTCCCCCTAAAAAAAGATTCCTGTTCACCAAAGCTAACTGTTCTCTCTCTCAGTCCAGATGACCCACATATGGCAGTGAAAGCACAGAAGTCACGACTCCTCAAGTCAAAACCCAAACAGTGGTGTGAACAATGTGTTTTCTGGGAAAGGCTGTAAAGGGTTTTTCAATCTGGTGTTATCTGATTCATGTATTTAGCAATGTCTAATTTTCTAATGGTTTCCCTCCTCAAATATTTCTGGAAATTTGTTATACTATATTACAATGGAGAAAATTGTGTCAAAATGAATGCTATAAAATTTGCTCCCTACCCATTCAAGTCAATACCTACTAGCTACAAACACGGATCCACCGGCACATATATACACACAAATACTCTGGTTTACAGCGCGGGAAAAAGTCTTCTTCCATTCTAATTAAGAAGATCTGATTTCAACAAACTAACACTGAGAACGCCTAAAACTCAAGGAAGTACACAACTTGTTGCAGCAATAAACGCTCGGCCGCAGTCTGAACAAAGCATTACCAATAAGCTCCAGAAACCCACACAGCAAGCCCTTGGACAAAATGCTGGGTGTTTGTAATCAACTCCCCACTGCTCTCTCATCACCCACTCCCCAACCCTCTTCCCCGCCCCAGCAAGAACCCTCCAGGACTCCCGCTCCTAAACGGGCTTCCATTCCAGCCCCGCCCCCTCCCCTTCCCTCTCCAGGACCGTGAATCAATCCCATCCCAGGGCAGGAAACGAGACCCAGGGCAGCCCCCTCCGCTGCGGCGGAACAAAGGAGCAGAGCGCAGCTGCACGCGCAGGACGCCCCATCGAGTCCCGGGCTCTTTCTCCCAGCCGCCGGGGCACGCCGCACCTGAACCCCACTCCCCAGGACGCCCTATTGTTCTCTGCTTTCCTTCCCGGAGGAGGCCACCCCACCTCCTTCTATAGAACCAGGGGGCCAGGAAACAGCTGTGAACCAGGGGGACGGAGGGGGTGTGGGTGAACGCCAGGAAGACCTGGATTCCACTTTGCCCACAGGTACGAGGGGGATGGGGCAAAGTGAGAGCAACTTAGCTTAGCGCCCTCTACTCTCCCACCGCCCCCGAAGCAACTGCGGAGTCGCGACCACCCTGCGCGACCTCCAGCGTGCGCGGCTCTCGCCGCATCGCCGCTCGGCCCGGGAGTGGAGACCGCAGACCCCGCTGCCCCGCGCCCCACGGGTTGCGTCGGGACCACAGGGACCGCGGGCACAAAGGACCGAGCGGGCAGGGCAGGGGGAAGAGGGAAAGCGCTCGCGCTACCTCGCCGAGCGCCACTCTGCCTCCTCGTCGTCCTCCCTCTCCGGCGCGCTCCTGGACGCTGGACCTCCGCGAGGCTACGGGGCTCCCACGCGGCTACTCGGCGGACGCTGCTAGCGGCTGCTGCCCGGCGACTGCCGGCCCCTGCGCCCGCGCTTCCACACCGCCTCCAAGCGCCGCGGCCGGGGCTCCCCTGCGCGCCCGTTTGCAGAGTGCGCGGCCGCTGCGGAGTGCGGCGCTGCGGCGGGAGGCGCCCGGCCACTCCCCTCTCCCCCGGGCGGGCGGAGGGGCCGGCCGAGGGGCGGGGGCGGCGACCTCGCAGCCTGGGATTCGCCCCTCGGCGCGCCGGCAGAACCGGGAGCCGCCGCCTCCCAGCCGACTCACCTCCGGCCGCCTCGGGGCCGGCGGCACAGCGCCCCCCGGTGAGCGCGGGTGCAGCCTCGGCCCCAGGACCCGCCTGCACGGAGCAAGCAGTGGAAAAGAGGGAGAGGAAGAGGCGTCCCTCTCAGCCCACGGAAGGCACGGCCCTTCTACATTTTTCACTCCCGTATTTATTAACATCAAACGACAAATATAATAACTGGAGGGGCAGGTCAGGGGGACCGGGCCGGCGGGGAATAACAACTAGAAGCCAGTCTGAGGGCACCGGCTGGAAAAGAGTAGGAGTGTTCCTTGTTCCTTCTCCCTTGGATAAAAAAAGTTGGGATACCCAAGAATATTGGAAAATATTAATTTGACCGAAAAGGGGAAAAGTGTACTGAGTAGCAAAGTGTGCTTTTATTTAAAAGATTTTTTAATATCTGCTAACTCAGTTTCATGTTATGCTAAGTAAACAATGGCCAAGATATAGAAAATAAAAGATAGTTTAAAAAGAAATTTCAACTACGTGTGGATGTGTATGTATTTTATTTACAAGATTTTTTAATATCTGAACAATACATATGAATATAGAATGATCAGTGACAAAGTGTTCATATGTATATTATTTCGGCATCCTGGAGTGGACAGAGAATCAGGCCTTCCTTCACTCCAGCTGGGTTCTTGTCTCTGTAAAATTCAGAGCAAGTCATTTGACCCTCACCCTGGTTTCCTCATCCCAAGAAGGAAAGGGTGCTCATCCTAACTTACTCACTGGGTGAGGTGAGGATTACTTGGCTAAGGTGTTGAAAGCAATGTAGACATGGGAATTGTTACTCATGTTTCTATTTTATCCAATAATGAAATAAATTGCCATAAATGGGGCCAGGTTTAAATGGACTGACCTATATCTGGAAACACTAAAATGAGGTGAACCAAAGAATTCAGACCATATATAGTAACTGTCCCCACAGGCATAAGAACCACAGGCAGTGCTATTTGTCAAAGGCTACCGGTAGAGACTGAAAAGGTAACTGTATCTTGCTTTGAAACTACACTGTCACTGATGGCACCATCAGCATTCTGATCTACATAAGACACCGGAGATGTTCTAAACTTAAATATATTGTACCAGGTACTGTTCTTTTCCTGTTTAATCTTCCCAAAAAACTGGGAGGTAAGTTACCTTCTTTGACCTTGTTTTACAAACCAGAAACCAAGAACAGAGACTTCTTCCAGCTAATAAGTGGCTATACTTGTTTGAGTACATGCCCGCAGATTCCTTTTCACTCCTCCCATTAAGGAATGGAGTTAATTGCCTTCCTCTAGCATATAGGCTAGACTCAGTGATGTGATTCTAACAAATGAAATCCAGCAGAAATGATGGTATATAACTTACACTTCTGATTCTAAGTCTTTAAAGGAGCTCCAGCTTTCGCCTGGCCCTCTCCTGAGACAATCATCCTTGGAACTCAGCAGCCACGCTCTAAGGAAGCCCAAGTCACATGGACGGTCAGGTATGGGTGGTTCTGCTGATGATGCCAAGTGAAGACCCAACCCTCAGCCAGATGAACAGACAGACATGTGAGTTATGAAGCCACTGAGATTACTCCAGTCCCAGTCACTGCCTGAGAGACCTCAAAAGAAGCCCTAATGGATGCCTCGAAACAGGAGAGGTAACAATTATACAAGATTGTCTTCAGGGTGGTCACTGCAGAGCAGTGGGCACTGGGAACACTGAGAGAGCTGGGGTGTGAGCCCAGGTAATCTGACTCCACAGTCTTCACCACAGTCAAGCACACTACCTCAGACTTTGATAACCTAGCCTGATGAACACCCTGTAGATTCCTGCCTTCGCAGCAGACAGCATACAGACCTGCTACCTGATGACAAGTGTTAGACTCTCTTCTCCATTTTGCCCATCTGACTTCAGGTTCCAAATTAACTGCTTTTAGTGGTTTGGCAGTCAGGGAGCCCCTGACCTCTGCTGTCCAGTCCAGCTTTTCAAAAATCACAGAAATTCAAACAGTAGGTTCACAAGAACAAATATAAATAGGTGGTTTGAGAGAGTGGGCCAATTCTGTAACGTTTTGATCTTGGAAGAAGGCCAGGTTAGTAAAAAGTAGGTTTAAGACAGGTATGTACTGAATAGGATAATTAAGGGAGCTTCTCTCAAGAAGGTGTTGGAGCTTCTGCCCCAGGAAAAAAATTGGGAGCATAGTTATGTAAGAACAGTTTTGGTTCAAGAAGAATCTAGCAGAGTGGGGACACCTGAGGCGTTCTCCCTGTTTTTTTTTTCAAAGCAAGTTCAGAAAAGAAAATAGTAGAAGCTGTTGAACTCATCCTAGTAACACTGAGAAAATGAACCAAGAAGCTCTTAGAAAACCAAAAGTGTTTCTAGAGCAAAGCTATGCTTCTCTTTTAAAAATACCATTAGCCTAGTTTTCATAACTATCAGAATTCAAACTTCTGAAGACATACCATGAGGTTTTTAAATACTTTTACCTTCCTGGCTGTTCTTTCCAAAAGTCAATCAATCAACAACTTATGAATTTAAAAGAAGCAGATTACAGTTGTTCTAATAACTGTCAAGAATAGATAATAAATCCATCAAGTACAAAGCATTTTTTACTTTCCCCTCAGTCTATTTGAAGGAAGTAGAATCTATGAAGAAACAGAAAGACTGTTATTACAGTCATAAACATAAATTATCAAGTCACTGGAGTAAAAGAATGTAAGAAGTATATTTTACCTCAATGAAAACATGCAATGATTTAAATTAAAACACGGAAAATCCTGTGATCTTTGTGGAAAAATTTAGCACATTTGTGGAGAAATGAAAGCACATTTCAGGAAGAGAATTATTTTACCACTAAATGCGTAGAGTTGTTGTTGTTTTCCTTAGATGTTTTCACTTGAACCCTTAAAAAATTTTTTTTTAAGATTTCAATATTGGAGAAACTTGACCAACAAAAGGATCACATGACCTGATTCTACCTCATATTGGTGTAGCAAATGACATAGTGTGCTGGAAGTCATAGTTTTAGATTATCTCACTGGTTCTGTGGGCAACTAACTTTAGAATTTTAGCTATAAAGCTCATGCTTTCTGTCCTTAGTTATTTTACATCATCTTGAATGTGTTCAGAGTGTCTGGTCCTAAAAAATCTAAGAGTCTTTATTCTTGCCATGTTTCCTCTCCCTACCTACCTGTCCTTCGTTTTCACCCACTTTACTTATCCTTTGAGACCACACTCAGTTCTTACTAATTACTGACCATCTTCTTGAATTGGATCCTGCTTCCTTTGCTCTAGTAACATCTTGATGCCACATCTTCTCCATACTTAGCAATTTGTCCCAGGTTGTGAAACCTTTCCAGTTGTTCTTTTATAAATGTTTGGCCTTTCCAACTAAATGACAAATATCTAGATTAAAGGAGTAATTCAGTTTGAGAACACCAAGTCAATGACTGTAAGAACTGCCTGAGAGAACTTCCTCTGTTCTAGAACATAATCTAAATTCTCTGCATGTGTGTTAATTAATTTACCCTTGTAACAGCCCAGTCAGGTGGGTTTTTATGATCCCATTTTACAGAGAATGAAACTGAAGCAGAGCAAAGATTATTACTGGCCAGATGTTCCACAGCAATAACACTAGAGTCAGGATGTGAGGTTGGTCAGTCTAGCCTCGGGCTTGATCTCTTACCTAAAGTCTAAAAATACACTTCCTCTCACGTCTGTGAGCTCTTTTTTTCTTTTGTCTCTGAAAAAACAAGTACTGTCTCATTTCTTTAATGTATATATTTCTTAGTTTAGAGTAGTGCTCTAAATGCAGTAAGAACCGAATTAGTACTTCTCAGTTCCATGCAAAAAAAAAGAATCTTTTTTTATGTATTTAAAGAATGCTTTGAAAATAAATGCATATTGCTTAAAGTATCATTTGATTCAGATTAGGTGTTGTAGAAAATATTTCTATAGCATTTTCAGCCTCTGGGACTCAGCAGGAAATATACAACTCCTACTCTTAAGTATTAAAAAAGCTATAGATAGAAAGTAGCTAGGAAAATCTTGAAAGTTCTCATCATAAGAAAACAACTAAAAATTTGGTAACTCTGTATGATAATGGATGTTAACTGGTCTTACTGTGATGATTATTTTGCACTTTGTACAAATATCAAATCATTACATTGTACACCTGAAATTAATATTGTTTTGTCAATTATACCTCTGTAAAAATAGAATTAATTTTAAAAAGTTAAAAACTGTAGATAAGCAATAATGAAAATATTGCAGGGTAAAAAATGATTGATAAAATTTCTTCCAAACAAGAAAGTTTGCTAAAACTTTTAGATGACACAAAGAGAAGAATTTAAAACTCAGGAATAGGGCTCCTTATAGGAACTATATGTGAAGACCAAAAACTGTGCTTTATAAAATATGAGTGTAATTGAGCACTAAAATTGGGCAGTGAAACTCGAAGTGTAATTTTTTTCTCCACAAAATACATTTGTCTATAGCTCAGAAATACTCTGATCCCTCAAATAAATTATAGATCCATTGCCAGGAAATTTAAAACCTGAATTTTTCCCCTAACATTTTATAATTTAGCATTTTGTCATTTCAACTAGTGGAATAATTGTCTTTTTTATTTCCTCTCAAGTTGTAGCAAGTGAACACCATTGTGGCAAAACCTTGCTGTTCAGCAATAAATCAATCTGAAAAATGACTAGATGGTTTTTCCAATCTTTTTAAAAAACCATTTTCATTTTTTTAATGATAACTGGGGAGTTTGTCATCTCATTGCCAAGGAGACCTGAGGAGGACTACAAGGAAAAGCAAATTTTATGCTAAAAGAAAAAATATATTAGCTATCTATACCAAATGAAGAGCAATTAGCAAATATATGAAGTAATAGTCTGCTTCTGCTTCAGTCGCTAAAGCTAAATGTCCATTTATTTTAGTATGGTGAATATATTCATCATAGGTATTAGCATATGAAAGAAAATACTGATAGAGAAAGACAATTGTGTAGCCAAAAAGCATTTTAATGTATTAACAAACAAGACAACATGTAATCCAGGTGTAAGGACTGTTGACTAAATAAACTAAAATTTAACTGAAACTAAAAGCCTCTCATAATAGATTTGCTCATTGGTTTCATCTGTGTTCTCAATCTTGCCATCTTCTGTACAAGATGAGAAGCTCCATGAGGGTAGGAATTT